CCTGCAACTAGCCTTACTATATCACATATAACAATTTACTTCCATTGTACTATTGTAGTGTAGTTTGCCATCCTCCTGCCTTGGGGATAATATATATGGCGACAGGCACAATACCTTTGTTTTCGCCGGAGGAAAAGTAGCTTGACGTTTACAGTTTTGCGTAGGAGGCACTGCACATTCGACTTTCAAATTTCGCTGCAATGATTGTCGTCTGCTTAAATGGCGTTAATATTCATATCGGGGAACTGAAATAATTTGGCATAAGCACAGCATATTTCGAAACATAAACTTGCTTCTACAATTCATCGATTTAGCATTAACGCAGCTAATGCTGTAATGGGTATCACAATTGAGCCGTGACATCAGTGACTGAGTTGAACGGTATATCGGCGGTTTCATCATTGAACTTCAAGAGATATTTGCATCACAGATATCAAAAGGCTTTGCAACATAAAGTAATTTATCTTTGCAGATTAATCTATCCTGACCCTTTCCCGAGGGAACTGTACTGTTATTACAATGTATCTGTAAAAACGGTTCACGTTTGAAACAGATACAATAAGTAGAGTTAATTGAAAGACAGTTTGTTTTATGTTTTGTTTTTAATGTTGCACAACATGGAATGGGCACATGTATTACTAATTTATCTAGTGCTCTCATTGTAAGACAACATTCAAATTACGCTGTGCATACAAAGTATCGAACAATTACTAGAGCCAGGAATTAATTTTAAGATTGCCTGTTCCAACACTCTGCCGATTTTCGCCTAAGTAGTTTTGTTCACAGAGCTAGTAGAATTGTTGTTTCCGTTTCTATTGAAACACGTAGACCTCACAGTGAAAAGAAATCATTTACGTTGAAGTATAAAGATAGGATTTGTGATGTCTTGTCATTCTGTCCAAGCGGGCTACACATCTTTAGACAGTGTCTCTTAAAGAAAGATTACCAAATTTTGCCAATGCAATACCAGCAATCTCTTCATCCTTGAATCAATTGGTGCTGCTCAAGTTACACGTAATTTCGCTGCACCCGTAAAATATGTCAAGAAAATTCGAAGGGTCAAAAGGATCGATCGAAGGTAACGCAACGGCAAAACAGACATGCTTTGAATCTGTGATTTTCAAAAGTCAGGCATCAGCCAAGCGATTGGTCAAGCTTTTATTCCAGGAATCAAATAAACAGCTGCTTACCACGAACCTATTCGAGACATATTCCAGTTGTGCAGAGACGATAGGTTTATCGAGAGAATTACCTTTGGATTTCGAGGATCCTGTCCCTTATCCTTCCTAAGCAACGTTTTTGATGTCTGATGTGACCAATGAAGATTTTCATCATGTTGTGAGCATTCACATTGATTCTTAAAGATCCATCCTCAAAATATCATAGGTTATGCTAACTTTGGGTATCTGCACTACCTGGAATATGTCCCCACCTATCATTTTGGTCGGCATATTTCGTACTATCCAAACATAGTTCTGGTTATCCCTTATAAGTTAATGAAAATAAAATTGACGACACTTTATTGTTCATAACAGATGAGTATATATTTATTTTTGATACAAACAGAATAATTTTGCATAAAACATAATATTGCGGAGTTATTTCATCGCCGAGTAACTTCAAACAAACAGACGTTAGAATTACCGTGCCAAACGTTGCAACATACGACGTCACCACTTTCTGTGTTGTTGTTTGTTATTGTTTAGGTCATATATTACAGGAAAAAAAACTAGTATTGGGAATATTGTAACAGCCAATACATGAAAACAGGTGGGGAACAATGCCTTACAGGCAAGCTAACTTTTCAAGCGATGCGTTATAACCCGGTATCGCGCTCACTAGTCCAGCAACGTCGAACGTGGTCAGAGGCCGCCCGCACGTTGCAGTATAGCTAAAATTAACATATTACAGTTTAGATTTGTTTACAGGTCATTTCTCTCTCTAAGTAAGTAATATGAAGGTCCACCATCCTCGGTCTCGCCAACAACCATCCTCGATACTCCAGGGGTTACGCCCACTTTGACTCTCTGCACCCCTGGACTGTATCATTGAGGGCTCAGTGTAAGCCACCTTGTGGATGAGAAAAGAAGACTTGTTTGATCCAGATGTAAATCAAAACAATTTTGGTCGCTTAGCGATTAGTCAGGGGGGTTTTTCGCCTCAATTTTGCTATGATATATGTTACGCTCTCTTACGCTCTCCTGGAATATGTCATAGCAAAATTGAAGGCAAAAAGATAGCTGAGGTAAAAAAAAAACTGACAAATCGCCAGGCTTGTACCTGACAGAGGAGCGACACCCGACTTCAAAGTCAGTCAATTTTTACCGTTGCGCGAATGCGATATTCTTTTGATTAACGCCAACTAGTCTTCTCGTCCCATCAACAAGGTGGTGCACACTGAGCCTTCAATTTTGCTATGACATAATCCAGGATGCACAGAGCGAAAGTGAGGATAACCCCTGGAGTATCGAGGATGACCAGCAATCCTATATCCATCTTAACACCCGTTCATTTACAAAATAGCACTACCCCGCCCTGTTTACACTGTCATCCTCATAGCAGCTGCTATACGTATCACATATACATCTGGGTGTCATCGCCTCGTGTTTAATCACGAGAATAACTGACATTCGACATGTTTAACAAAACAAACCGGCAATATGAAACCCCCAGGAAGCGTGCAAAACCCAAATATAGCACTAATCGCCTACACTTATAGATTGTGTACGTAAGCCGCTTAACAGCAGTTCGTGATACAGAAACTTATAAGAATAGCATTTCCCCTTCCTGAAATGTAAGAGGAAGCTTCGATTAAGTAATAACTGACACGCGGATCTATATTTAGAGGTGAGAAAAATAGAATCGTCCCTGTCTTAGGGTAGAGGATAGAGAAATCTCCAATCCGAGGAGTAACTATTTTGGTGTCTTACCCGAGGCTCTGCCGAGGGCTAAATATCCAAATAATGACCCCGATGGTTGGCGATTTCACTGTAAAGGTAGAGGGTGATTCTCTTTCTCCCATCATTTTAATACTTTTTTTTCATAAGAGTAGTTTTCACAAATGGGTAATATAATTTTATCTTGAATTCCATATGGCTACTCCCGTCTTCAGCTGATTTTAACGTCACATCTGAATATTTCCGTGACGTCATAGTATCGTTTTTTTAACATCATATCTATCATACCCTAGGGGTGACAGAATAATCATGAACAGGTAAAACGGGAGATAACTCTGTGAATGGAGGTGGAAGGGTTTGTCGTCTAAACTAGGTTTTTGAGGATTCCCTTACCATTATCATGATCTGTAATAATGCTTTAGATAACACTATACCTTTCATAAATAATTGCTGTATAGAAAACAATACCTCATGGATCCGTTATGGGCGGATTGGTCGAGTGGTTAACACTCCGGCCTTCAACGCAGGCAGCCGGGGTTCGATCCTCGAAGTCGTCGTACGCTTGGATATTCAGAGAAACTGTTTTTCTCCTGCCCACACAACTCCAACATGTGGAGTATACATTGGTCTTGGTGGACGTTGCGGTATCTGTGCTGTAGTATTCAAGTGAGGTGGCTCTATAAATGATGCCGTTGGAAGCACGGCCCCACTACAAAAAGAACACATTACATCTCATTATATAGGACTAGCATATACGTAGTTAGCGCCTGATAAGGCAGCTCCTGTGAATTCCTCCAAATTGTATTGATCAATGTATATGTTAAATGAATAAATTGTGTATCTATGTACTGTAAAGCGGTTTAGAGTGGCTTATGTTAGCTAGATAGGGCACTATATCAAATGTTGTATATCATTTATTATTATTTATGAAAAAGGAGAAAAACAATCTCCGGCAATGTTATAGGTGTAAACTTATGCAACGGGGCAAACAAGGATTCGAATTCTTCACCTCTGATCGACACACTTTAATCATCTGAACCAGTAAACTATAGTACCCTAGCTCAGTCGCGCGTCAGTTATATCCAAAACAAAAAGAAGGGTAGATTACTTTGAAATTGCAACAAGCTACAGTAGAACTCCCTAGTGTTTTCAACAGGGGGACAGGAATCATTGACTTTCAACTGCTCTGTATTTCATTTAGAGAGAATCATCTTAAGTAATTTTATTTTAATGCATTTTATGTATTATATACAAATATACAGGGAAAACACTGTGTTAAACATTTAAACACGACTCTGTATTTGCCATATTGGTCATGTTTGAAAAATATCATATGACACCTAACGACCAATGCTTATTTAGTAAACCCCACACGTTATACCCACAAATTGCAACGTCACTAATAATGTACATGTGATGTATGCTACGTCCGCGCATTGTAATGATGCATTGTGGCAGGATTGCTACACAAGCTGTTACTTCATGTTCTCCGTGTATGAAAGAATCCATACACTGTATTGATCGCAATACTCCGCACCAGGTGAGTAATATAATCGGGGCCATCGAGGAGGGAGACACAGGTGAGAATACAATATATCAATGATCCCTTCCAGGCATACTATCTCTCTGGAACTGAAGCAGATATACAAGCAGATTAATTATATCAGGAACATGGGAATGAATTAAATATCGGAATTTATTAAAAGATTGTCTAAATCACGTATTATCTTATATAAAACACATTATACACAGAAAAATATCATTTAAACCGCTCATTTTAAAGATTATTCATATATTATACATTGTCTTCAATCAAAACAAGTTGATAGAAAAAGTTTTGATTAAAATTTATTTTTTTCTTTACTTTTTCTTTATTTAAATAAAGTTATTTATTGTTCTTTAATCTGAAAAGAAAATGAAAAATCATTGAGTATGTTATTTGGTATTTGTCAATACTGGTAAACAAAATGAGATAAATTCCCTCGAAATCCTTACCGGTTAATATTGAATATTTGTAACACCTGTGTCTGTCAGCGAATGTCGGTACATTTGACACAAACATATAATACACATGCGTATACGATACACAGATTCAGAGATTTCGTGAATTTGAGTCATAATTGTTTATATCAAATTTCAAACGACGAGAGTGGATCTTCGTACACGTTGTCTCATCCCAGTTACAGGTGAGAGAGATTTGTGAATATGTTAATGGTGAAAAGATGAAGTTTTCAAAATCATTTTGATTCTATCATTTCAGTTTTGAATGCCTAGTATTATAGTTAACGTAATATGCACTACAGTTTGCAGATTTATAAAAGGACACCATTTTAGTTATTTGTGAACTACTTTTGAATTTGACAGTTTATGTTTGATTATAATGTTCATCCTAAAATCATGATGCCGTTCTATAGTTCATTCTTAACTGGTAAAAACATGAAAATATGTCCTAATGCCAGAGTGTACATTGCTCTTAACGACGAAATTAATTTCCCTTAACTACAATGAACATTTCTCTTCACGCCGGTGTACATTTCCCTTAACGACGGTGTACTTTTCTCGTAACGACGGTGTAACTTCCCCCAACGACTCTGAACATTTCCCTTGACGACTACGTACATTTCCCCCGACGACGTCGGTGTGCACTTCCCTTGACGACGGTGTACATTTCCCTTAACGACGGTGTACATTTCCCTTAACAACTACGAGCATTTCCCCCAACGACGGTGTGCAGTTCCCTTGACGACGGTGTACATTTCCCTTAAAGACGGCGTAAATGTCCCCAATCGACAGAATACATTTCCCTTAACGACGGTGTACATAACCCTTAACGACTACGAGCATTTCCCTTCACGACGGTATACATTTCCCTTAACGACGGTGTGCATTTCCCTTAACGACGGTGTACATTTCCCTTAACGACTACGTACATTTCCCTTAACGACGTTGTACATCTCCCTTAACGACGGTGTACATTTCCCTTAACGACGGTGTACATCTCCCTTAACGACTACGTACATTTCCCTTAACGATGGTGTACATTTCCCTTAACGACTACGTACATCTCCCTTAACGACAACAAACATTTCCTTTCACGGCGGTGTACATTTTCCTCAACAACGATGTACATTACCCTTAACGACAAAATCCATTGCCCTTCACGACAGTGTTCATTACATTTAACGACTATGTACTTTACACTTAATTACGTAGTAGATTTCACTCAACGACGGAATACATTTCCTTAACAATGGAGTACATTAAAAATTTCTTTTGGCGACGATGTACATTGCCCTTAAGGATCCTTATCCTTTGATATAACTATTGTTGATTATATTTTCTTTATATTTTCTTTATTATTTTTATACAAGTCCCGGACGCCCAACTTCAAAGACTGTCAATTGTTTCCGATACATGACCGCAAGATTCATTTGATATACATCAAAGGATAAAACTAGTCTTCTTGTCCTATCAACAAGGTGGTGCACACCGAGCCTCCAATTTTACGTTAAGACCGATAGGGACTGCTCACTACGAAGCTGCATGATAAGCGGTATGGTTTCGTTTAAACTGAAACAAATTTTAGGGACAGATAAAATCGTATGAAACACTTGATGATTTGCTGATGTAGTTGTACCAGTCGTAAAGCAACATTTTTTTTTTATAAAAATTTTAAATCTTTTAACACGATCAAAAATTAAAGAATAAACATTGCAAACAGCATTCGGCTTTCTGTTATTCAAGATAGTCATTTTTTTTTTTTTATTAAACAAAGGTCGAGCCTCCGAAACTCGTAGTTCCTTTCCCCTCCCAAAGCTGAACAAAAAAATCTCTACTAGGCCCTAGTAGCAATCTCCTGTGTATCAACAAGTAAAACCGACTTTTTATATGAATGATATTAATTTTCCTACTTCACAAAGTAGTTTTGTATTTACCGAAACCTTCCATGGTAATAGACATTACATAACAACACGATTATATCAGACTACATTGTTAAGTTTCCAAGCCGATTTATTTATTTCCCTTTTTATGATGGATACGTATACGAACGGTCCATATTAATCATAAAAAGTATTAGGTATTAATAAAGGATTAAAAATAACCTAGAAAAATTGAGTGTATGCTACTCAACTTGGTACCGTTTCACGACGCGTACGTAAATTTACGGGTACCCGTAAACCGTACGTAAGTTTTTTGGTCCGTTTCACGACGCACACGTAAGTTACGAGTGCACGTGAATAAGTAACGGGTACCCGTACATTTACGTACGCGTTTTGAAACGGCACCCAGAAGTCTGCAGCACGTCTGGTATCCCCTAAGCGAAAGGAAGAGCACGTTGTACCAGAGCTATATTTATTGCATTGGTTTCTTGTACGATACAGGACACAGTACAAACTTTTGGTGTACAAATAAAAGACAATAACTAGAACAGATCCTTATTATTTGAAGGAGCTTGGCATCGTTTACCCGTCGTCACCATAATCTGTCTCCGACACACATGCATACATGCACGCTTACACGGCACACATGAGGGGCACGTCCTTAAATGACCTAAGCTGTCAATAGGACGTTAAACAAAATAAAACCAAACCAAACCGCCGTGACCACCACTGCGGTCGGAGACAGAATCGTAAATATGTGTTCTTAATTCTGGTACTATGACCGCTGGAAACGGGTATTTGTGGAAAAGTAGCTGCCCTTTTGTGGCACAGTTTAGCTTGCTTAAGTAATTTTGCAAAATAAGTAGGGCGCTGTATAATGGTTGTATGTTATTTGAAGACTATTTTGTGGTATACACTTTGTATTGCCCCTCATAATAGATATATGAATTTAGCCTTGAGGACATTTATTTGTCTATTTGGCCAATTTATTAAAAACCACCTGAAAATCGATACATTGGTATACGTCAGTAGAACTAACTCATCTTGATGTATGGGTTTATTTTCATGAGCTAGCATACACTTATGTTGTTGTTGTTTTTTGTTAAGAAACGAATATCTTTGACTTATATTATCATTTAATGAAAACATTAAATATGACAATACCGCATACGTAAGTATAACCAAAACAGCCTAATTGAAAGTTTTAATCTGGCAGTCAAATGTCGGGTATAGCAGACACTTTTACCCACCTCGAACCGTGTCAGGTGAACAACCTTAGACCAAATCGATAGAATCATGTAAACGCTGAGGGAATATTGCTGTAGCCGTATCATTTCCACCAGCTCACGCCAGTGATTAATTATGTAAACCTGATCCATAGCCCAGATGTTCGGAGGAATAGAATGATAAGCTAGCTAGTATATGAGAAATTATCGAAAATGTTAACCACTTTCGGACCTAATCGCAACATGTTGAAAATACTTATTACCCAACGCTGTTATACACGCTTAAATGTATTCAAGTAAGATTATCACCGTGATTATCGTGATTATCATGTAAAACAACACTTACATATAAGTGGCAACAACATGATTATATGTACACAGTAGGTGATTAATTGATTAAAATTTAATCCTTCAAAGGTACATACACATTTTATTTCTTTCGAGTGAAGTCACTGGCGGATAACGACGCCCGGGATTAGTGTTTTTTTAACGGTTTACCTGTATTTCGAGGTTTAACCCTTGAATGTTGACACTCAAAATACTTTGCGCCACACATGGGATTCTAATCCATAGCTAAATGTAAGCCCCGCGAATAAATGACGCCGCGAATTTAAAGCGCTATACAGTATATTGTGTTCTTTCACTTGTCATGTTGTCATGAGATTGTGTTACTAAGTGGTTTTTTGTTAAGATATAATTCCATTTTCTTCAAGTCTTGTGTTGTTTTTCTTTGTTATTATTCTGTCATATTTTGAACAGTTTTGGGATTGAACTGTTGTTTTGGTCATATTTCGATATTTTCTTACTGATCTTTAAAACAATTATTGTAAAATTATTAGAAATACCGCTCAAATGTTTTGCCAAATAATGTTAACAAAGGATCAGACAAAAGTTATTACCACTTTTCAAAGCCTTCATCGTGATAACGATAAGAATAGGCATAACTCATAGTTTGATTTGGTTTGTTTGTGTTTTACGACCTATAAACAGCTACGGTCATTTAAGGACGTGCCAGGTTTTGGTGGTGGTGGAAAGCCGAAGTTCCCGTGCCATCTCACTTACCGCCAACACATTTCAATGTCTTTTTGTTCTCTGAGAATTTCGTTATATGTTTATCTAATTTTATCGCCAAAAGCCTTTTATCACGCCAAAATATTCCTCTGGACAAATGTTGGCGGTATAACGAGGTTTTACTGTTGAAGTTGAATTTACATTTACCGGATCGCTCATTATATCACGGTCATATTTAACAGTGGCCATCATGATCCCTTTGGGAAACATAGATGTTTGGGTTATGTTCATTACCCCTGTTCTCTCATAAGTTTTGTTAACTTTTTGTTATTATTTTTTTCCAAGCGTTTGGTCCGTAATACTCAGCATCTCTCTCTCTCTCTCTCTCTTTCTCTCTCTCTCTCTCTCTCTCTCTTTTTCAATTAAAGCCAATATAAATATATATGTAATAATGCCATCTTGAAACTTTGTATTTAGATATTGTCTTAATATAAGTTGTTAAACTTGAGCCAAACTCCCATTGTATAAAAATTACAATAAAATATGTTAAAAACAAAGCTCAGCATATTGAAAGAAAAAAACAGTAGTTGAGCTAGATAAGAAATTATACGGGGGCAGGCTCCTATGGAGAATTAACATTACTGGAAACAGGCCCTTTGTCAGATTACTTACAGATTATTTATCGTTTCAGATTAGAAGAAACAAGGACTAAGCTCTTCCATCACAATTGGAAATTAGAAAAAAAGTAGTCCATTGCTTAAAAGTAATAATTCATTGGAAAACTTATTATGACCGGGATGACGTCTACCAAAAACTGTATGAAAGCGACAATTATGATCGCAAGCGTTCCCGTTATTGTAAGTATTGGTTTTCTAGACTTTTTTCCAGCTTTATTTCTTAAGTCCTCCAAACACTGTTTTTTTCAGTCCGTTTCGAAATAATTTTTTCTTCTTTCACCGCTATTTTGTCGCTATATCCTTTTTTCGTAAACTACCATCCTCGATACTCCAGGGTTTACGCTTACTTTCGCTCTCTGCGCCCCTGGAATATGTCGATATCAAAATCGAAGGCACAGCTTGTTTTAGATGAGAAGACTAGTTTGGTCCTTTGATGTACACCAAAAGAATACATCGGTTGCGTAATGGTAAACTTGACTTGCTTTGGAGTCGAGTGTCGCTCCTCAGTAATTTTCAAAGGACCGGTTTCAGTCTTAACAATAAGTCATTTTTTTTTACCTGAGACCAATCCAAAAGCTAGCAGCGTGCCTTCATTTTTGCTATGACATTTTCCAGGGGCGACAGAGAGCGAAAGCGAGCGTCACTTTTGGAGTATCGAGGATAGCAAACTACTAGATAGTTTTATAATGACTCTTCGGGTAAATATTAGTTAGCATAAGTAGGTATACCCATAGCCTTTTGTTTAACGCGCTGTCGACCTTAGAGGGCCACCTCGGCCTCTGATTGGTCGATAGTTTGACAAAATGGCTGCCTTTTCTTTTATTTTGATTGATTCGATCAAATTTGATACGTGTATGTCGATGTCTGATGTCACAGCAAACTATACCAAGTCCCCCCTGACACATCAATTTTGGAAACTCTTTAGAGGATGCCGTAACAATTAAAAACTTTGTTATATATTTGTATGCAAAGTATTACCCTAAGCTCAATTTCCAATCAGATTATACAAATGAAGTGACACCCGCAGTATACTATATTCTGAAATTGAATTAAACCGTTTTATTCGTGTAAGGCACTACGTACCATGCAGCGTTTGGCTGTTAATCAGTCGGCTTTCTAAGCCTTTATGAAAGAGGGCATGATGGCTGGTGACAATGAATTGAAGAAGGACGCTTTGTACTCTATGAAATTAGCAGGGGTTCTGGTCAAGCCTCTAGGATTTTCTCATGTGATTATCGATATATATGAACGTAGTCGTGCAAGTATCCTGTTCCCTTTGTTTCATTTGACTTAAGGATCCCAGTACCACTGCCAACATCTGCAAACTACGTGTTGGGAACTGTTTTTCAGGCATGACTTTTCCGTCTTTGCGTATTGCAGAGTTATCTTCTCTTGGGAGCAGGGATTGATTGTTTCGTCATTGGGTTGTGCGAGAAAATTACGTCGTTTTCTCAAAAACTGATGACGTTACTCTCACAAACAAGTGACGTAACAATCAATACCTGCTCCCAAGAAAAGATAACTCTGCAATACGCAAAGACGGAATAGCTTTAACAAATGGTTTCTGAAATGAAAACCATACCTTGCCGCATTTTAATGAAAAATAATAGAGAGGAAACAAAATATAATCAAAAACAGTGTTCTGGATGTAAAACATCAGCGGGGCTAGACTGGGATTGGTACCCTTAACTTCAGATTGATATCCATCGCTCTAACTGATTGAGACTATGTGGTCAACGGAATCGAATTTACCCAACTGTGCTACAGTAATACCAGAAACGCAATTAAGGGCGAGGTAGCTGTGTAAAGGAAAAACACCATTGCAGTGTGACAGGGATCCTCCATGCTGACAGTATGATAGTAGTTTTGACTTTCTGACGGTGTTATGCTCTATATAATATGTCCCATATTACTGACCAAAGGATATTTGGGACTGTCTACGTTGAAGAGAGAAAAGGTTGATAGACCAAAGCTTTGAGAAGTGATTCAAGTTAAGATCAGGAATGTCAGTATACTTCCCTATGGAGTAGTAAAACGTTTTAGCAGCGGACAGTTTATAGGTATTGGTAGTCTCGTTCAACCAGACGCTTGGTCACCTTGTAATCATCTGTACGGCGTAGCTTGTGCAGACAACAAGAGTCTGGTTAAACGAAACTTATATATTGGTGGCAACGCAAATGATTCCTTAAGGATTCTTGTCCATTGTTATGCGTTTTTATTTTATATAAACGGCAACCTCTTAATTTTGATTTGGATATAACTAGTATAGCTGTGTCCGTACAATTCCGGTACTCACATGTTGCGGTCAGTCAGAGCCATAGTATCACAATCTTAAGTCCACAGTTGTTGGTTGGATTACGTTTTATTTCATCTTTAATACTTTCATTATAGACACGCAAAGTATGGTTTCTTTTCAGAAATTGTTTTATCATATTAGAGTAATGCCGGGAAAATATTTTCTTATTCGTAATGAAAGATTTTGTCAATAGAGTAGGGATCCTAAATTTTGTTTGAAATTCATATTTAAAACGGCTACGTTAAAAGTGGAACAGCAATAGGTTTTACTGAAGTTGGTTAAACAGTGAACAGTCTTAGAACCTGATTTAGTTGCACAACCGGAAGATTCAGCAATAAAGCGGTTTTTTGTCGACTATTCTGCAATTTAGGGAAAAGATATACGGAAGGGAAATCTGCATCAAAGGCCATACTTGATAAAATAAAAACTAAAGTACAGCTTTATTTCTGATCGATGTCTTGTCTAGAGAAAAGCGGGATTTACGAATGATTATAAACGTATTGTAGGCCGAGCTCGTTTCTAAGACGTGTAATACAATGGTGTTAATAGAGAAATGATTTGTGGCTTTGTCAGTTGGTGGGATTAAATGCTTTTCATGTAAGTTTGATAAATGTTCTTTAACATCAGAGTAAGAACGTTTGTTATTACACGAAATACGTCTTGGCATTTATTATTCTACGAAGCAATCTTATGTATATGTGAACAGCTTTCATAAATTGAATTTGAGGTATGCAATGCTAGATAGTGTACATGCATGTACAACTTAACATATGCAATATCAAAATTTTGAGTCTGCGTTAATTCAATGTTATGTATTCGTCGATTGAATTATGTGAACTCCTTAACAAAAAATCTGAATACTGTTAAAACAATAGAAATCGGAACATGAACATGTAAACGAGAGATGCAGAATTGATGTGCGGAGAACATGAATTTGCTATATATATTACACATTGATACTATACGTAAAAAAACGTAATCTGAAGTGAACTATTATTCTACCAACGCAGTTGGTGTGTGAACACTTGGGTTCAAAACGTTAAATCCGATATACCGCCAAACTCGTTATACCGCCAAAATCACAGAGGACAGAAGGTGGCGGTGTAACGAGGTTTTACTGTGCATTAAAGGAGGAATCCCATAACTCCTCAAACCTGGCCTTCCTTCCTTACATGTACACTAACGAATACAATTATAAAAGAGAAAATAAGGGTATTCATGAACATATTTTATCATGCAGAATTCTACCATTCCATTGATCCAATTAAGTGTTTATAACATGTAATACAATATGAGAACTCATTAATATCACTTTTGTTTGTATAATTCACTTCACAATTAAATCATTTCTGAAATCATATTTCTTTTGTTCAAGGAAAATCGATCGTAAAATTATAAGTTTTGATTATGGAACAATAGATAAGAACTGTACACTAAACACAATGTCATATGTTTTACGCGAGTTACAGGAAAGTTGGTTTACGAAAATAATATAGTTTTGAGTATGATAACAGTTTCTTGAATACAGGCCCATGGCACGCATTCAAGAAACCGTTCTCATGCTCAAGCATAGATATTGTGATCAAGCCTAATTTCTTCTTCTTGTTATAACTAAATAAATAAGTCTTATTTTGTTAATGATTTGGCAACTTCTTGAAGAGACGTAAAGCCAAATACTGTTTTCAATGTTTGCATTTGACTTTTCGATGGTTTGACATGATCTAAGCGAGTTCCAAAAAAGTTGGTTTGAGCTTAGAATCAATGCTTGAGCATGAGAACAGTTTCATGAATACGGGACCAGGTCTTAGAGTATCCATGTACTTTTTTCCTTTGGTCATATTTTGCCCTAGTTTGATCGATTTTGAGTTCGGATTACGGTTTTGTGGACACTTCGGTATTCTCTTGCATTTAATAACTGTTCTATGTTTTTTGTTTTGTTTTTATCTTTACATCGTTTTGTTATGCCCAAGACATGCTCTCTGGTATTGCTAATTGTAGGATGTATGTTTCTCAGTGAACCACTGGTCAACTTTAAAATAATTTCCGTTAGTTTGTTACACTCATTTTCCTATAATAAACAATTATGTGAGTGACAGGCATACATTATTATTTATTTTTTTATTCACTTCAATAAATAAACAGTCAAAATTACGAAACTTTTTAAGACTATATTATCATGGAAGTCCTTCCAAATGAGGAAATGCCACATAAATGTAGCGTACTGTATAATTGGAAATTTCGCTGCAATTCAAATTTCGCCTTTTCGCCCTCTGTAATGAGAGTAAAGGACTTGGGGCGTTATGTGTCATTTTTGGCCTTATATAAAGTGAAAATTTCAACTTGAATTTATTTACCATTTTCTATCATAAACATCATATTGGTTAATTTGGGCTATCTTTCTTGGTGCAGATTTTTTTCCAATGCGCATGCGTAGATGCCCTACAATAGCAACAAAATTGCGTTGCTATGCAAAAAGAGCCAAATTATAGTGTTTTTTGACAGTTGGTATGCACAAATGAAAGCCTCCGCATACGAAAATTCCTTCCTACGAATGAACAGTGGTATGACAGTGTTTAAGCATGTCAACTATTTATTGTTTGGTGCGTGCTCAGGCCTCAAAAATTGAAAAATGTTTAGTTGAATTTTCGTCAAAATGGCAATTTTTCAACCAAATAGAGCACAACAGACGATTTTCACACGCATTTTATTAGGAAAATGCGCGGGTTTAAATCTCTTTGTAATGTCATATCTCATAAACCAGTCGTCGAATGAATTTTCATTTCAGATTACGAATATAACAACTAATTCTAAACCCCCGATGAGACCAAAAATGTCCCTTAACGCCCCCAGTCTTAAATCATGACACCGAACAAGTAAAAACACATGGCGAAAATAAATTGATTTTATGGGCGAAGGGCGAAAGTTTGACTCGGCGAAAATTTCCCAGTATACATTATATCACATACCTACTTTTTTACTTGACTTTTGTTAGGTCATTGGCGCCATTTCTTTAGGTCTGGGTCTCTGGATCGCATTTGACAACCCCAGTTTCATTGGTCTTACACACCTAGAGGAGTTCTCCGTCGTCGAGCAATCGTTCGTAAAGAATGGAGCATATATCGTCATTGCCGGTGGCGCATGCGTACTTGCGTTTGGAATATACGGTGTCATAGCTGCTGCAACAGAGAGCCCGGTTTTACTTGGAGTGGTGAGTTCCGGAATATCATATTTTGAAATGAAGAAATATAAATAAATATGAAAACTTGATATGTATGATCATATTTTAACCACACGTTCACTTGTCTATAAAAGTTCTTAAAACTGATATCAACAAAAACGCATTTCCACATTTTGAAAAGTTTACGTCTTTCAATTTATAATAACAAAAAATAGGATCTTGGACTATTGAACTTAGAGACCACATGTCTTTTAATGTATAATTGCAGTCTAATCTGCCCTAAAGTCGATGTATGTTATAGCTGTGACCTGTCTATCATGACCACTCATATCTCAATAAACACAAATATTCTTTAAATGCCAAACGGTTCTGTCCCCAGGCCGGTACAACCAAAACCATAAGACATGGTGATTATTTTTATTTTCCCTTGTACACGTTCAGTATTTACGTAAATCGCAAAAACAGTTATTTAACCGCTGTCAGTATAATAAAACCGGATGAAATACTGTGCTGGGTTTCTTCGGTATTTTATTTCAATGAAGTAGCACTATGAAGTCGGCATCAGATCCGCGCTATCACAAGGAGGCAATTACACTGATATACCCCTTCCAGTATACATATAGAATACATGACACACATGGAGGCACTTAAAAAAGAAAAAGAAAAAAACACATTGACAAAAAATCAAACAGATGAACAAACTAAACATTTAGTAATGAAATATCAATTTATGTTTTTGCTTTTTAGTACGTGACGCTTCTGTCCCTTGTGATGGCAATAGAGGTAGCAGCTACAGTTCTAGGCGTGGTCTTCAAACACATGGTAACTATGGAGAAATGGTCTGTAAATTTGTGTGTTTATGTGTGTGTGTGTACGTGTGTGTGTGTGTCATGTGTGTATAATTGTCTGTTTATATATATTACTATATATTGGGAAAATTTTATATTCTATTTTTGCCCTTTTCGCCCGCCGCGATAAGGGAGAATTTATCATTACAGCGAGTATATGTAAACAACATAATATGTATAGAAATCGAATGTGAAGGGCGAAATTAAACACTGGGCAAATACGAATTATGTTGGCGAAGGACGGAATTTTAACTGGACGAACATTTTCTGGTATACAGTATTCATGAGTACTTGCATATATATGTTCAAAAAAAGGCATATGTACCCATGTGTAAGCGCCCACGCACATCTACAGACAGACATACGGAACGTCATTATGTTCTGATGTTAATCGTAATCGCATATTAAATGGTTTGTGTACTATTTTTCATTTGTTTCCGTACCAAATACTCAAATCCCATTAGTTGGTTTTTGCTTCCAACCTTCACAAAATTCAAAATACATAAAGGAACACCCTTAAAGACTAATATTTTATAGGCGCACCGATGTAAATTTATTCTGTGCGTGGAACGAGATGGCTATAGTAATTTTGTTTTCTTTATTTTATTTGAAAACTGACCTCGACTTCGTCTCAATTAATATATCTTTGTCAGGTGATCATATATTTTCCTTAACAAACGTCCATAATTTAGTCAATATTTGATAAGTATATATAGGATACTGTAAAAGAGGAAATTGTCGCGGTGTAGGAATTTTCGCGTGTTTTGCGTTGAGTAAATTAGCATGAAAATATCCACACGCGATTATTGATAGAACATAAATAGAAAATATGTATTTCAGAACTATACCTAACGCCGATATTTCCACTTCAGAAACAGTTTAAAGGGTCACGACGAACTTTTTCATTCTTTTTTCAGAAAGTGAATGTAACAAGTACACGGATATGATATTTTGGTTTTCAGTGGGAACAGAATATGGAAGAATCGGTTGTGGAGAAGATAGCTGAGAGATACGACGGTATTCTTAACAGCGAAGACTTTTTCACTTACCATTTCAACAACTTTCAGCAGGAGGTAAATATTGAAGAACAAAATAAGATATATATATTTGAAGGTCACATTTACCAAACTGCCGATAACTTGATATTTCCATATTACGATACATACAGTTTATAAGTTTATAATTAATATAATAGCGTTTAGCTGAAGGTACTTATTCCACACATTTTCGTCTCTTCGTTCCTTTGCATTTTCGTACAGAGAGGTGGTGGGACCAATAAGCTTATTAGCGTCCTTTCATAGCAAAGTAACGTTTTTCAATGTTCCTTCACAACAATAACATATTAGCGACGAAGCGACCTTTATCATTCTGTCATCTGTCTTAACACTGGATAAGCTACACCAGGAGTGGTTTCCTGTATTGAAATATGTTCATGAGTATTCTCCTGAAAATAACAACAGAATAAGGTAAACATATATTCATTATGTATATATTATGCTATTCTTAGAAGACTATTTTAGGGACAGTTTCAGGGGAGTGGATATTTGGATTTCTATACTACTGCCATCGACTTAGTATGCACTGAGTCTTTGTTTGTCACCAAGTAAGGTGAGATCAGCCAGGAGTAGTTTATCAATTGCCCTAATGAAATTCAGAGAATGTAACTGTAGGTAAGAAACACTAAATGATAAAATATCTAGTTTTTTGTCGCAAGCAGGGGGGGACATCAATCCTTAATACTGATGAAATGAAAAAATATTTACAGATGTTCCCCTAATTTACTGGGCTCAGAGTCCGTCTCTGTCTCCGTGCTAGGACTGCCTGAAAATGAGAAAGGTCTAATAGGACGTACGACAAAAACAAACCAAACCAAACACACTTTCCTCATTATGTAACTTGAAATGAACCCGTCGTTCTTTAAATTTTGAAATGTAAACGAAATGAGGATTTTATGCATCTCACCTTCTGCAGTAGTTTAGACCAATTGAGTTGTTTAACCTTTTGGATACTAGCATCTCCGATGGGTCCTAAAAGGACCCAAAAGCGATATGATGCAGTGTTATTTATTTTTGGCATACCGTATCTATACACAATTTAAAAGTGCAATCACGTATGCGCGCGCATTACGTTTACAATAAAGACGACCAGTCTACCTCGAAGACTGTAATGTGTTTCTCGTATTCAGGGAATTCTGCATAAATGAGAAATGATCAGTAAAATTAATATGAACGGGTATGATAACTTCCAAAATGGTAAAAGTAACATTTTGAAAGACACTTAAATATTTTAACATTTTAAGATATATGGCGGACGTTCTTGTAAGTCCTTTTCTGTTCGCTATGTCAGATTTATTACTTTCAGTAGCTTAGTAATTAATTGGGTTTTCGTTAGTAGGCACGGTAGTCTAGTGGCAGGACGCCAGACCCGTGACCGAAGGGTTGCGTGTTCGAGGCACGGCACGGCACTGTGTTGTATCTTTGAGCAAGATGCTTTACTCCGCTTGTTCCAGTCTACTCAGCTGTAAATGAGTACGTGGTTGGGCAGTGCTAGAATTGTTGAATGATAGCTGTTAGTGCCGAAATGGCAGCTCCGGCTGTATGCTCCTCAGGGAGTTGAGAAAGGGATTGGCTTGTTGCAAAGGCCATATAACCACGGATAATGATTTGTGAACCGCTTTGAGACGACCTATAAACTAGGTTGTGATAAAGCGAAATTTAGACAATTTATACAATCAATACAATTACCATATACAATAATAAATACAATATTTAAGGAATTCGCAGGAGCTGCCTTATCAGGCGCTAAAACTAGTCCTATGTCACCTGGCTAATATCTCCCTATGTGTGTACACCTGTGTGTGTGTTGGAGATGTACTGCCTTCTGTTTATAGTGGGATCGTGCTTCTAACGGCATCATTAATTGTGCCACCTCACTTGAATGCTACAGCACAGATACCGCAACATCTTCCACAGACCATTTTATACTCCACCGGGGTTGTTGGGGTTGTGTGGGCAGGAGTAAAACACTTTCTCTGAATATTCCATACGTACGACGACTTCGGGATTCGAACCACGGCCGCCTGCGGGGAAGGCCCGGTGTGTTAATCACTCAACCAATCCGCCCATAAGGTATATGATCTGTGCAAGAGCTTCTTTGCAATTTGCTCAGTACATATATTGATTCTATCAAACCTGCACTTACTCCACCGTATGAAATTTAAGTAGCGTAAATCGGCTAATGTAGGTGCTTTGGTGGCGACTTAATGAGAACGTTTTCTAGGGGAAAATACTTATGATTAAACTCGACAACTTGGTTGAAGTGCCTGTGTGGGCGAGTGTCAACATTAGCTGAGCAGACGATAGGTTTGTCACGTTAGTGGTCTGTGGACACGTAGAACAGCAACTACCGTGTATTATACGACTTAAAAATATCTAAAAGTTATTTGTTTTTATACGAAGGTTTGTTTACCATTCATTTGATTAGTTTATATGCTTTTTTTTTGCGTCGGCTAAATTTCGGAAAAGGTTTTTGAGTCCCGGAGTAGCAAAGACAAAAGATTCTACTAAGAAGGGTAATAAAAACCCAATACGGTTTTGCTGTATTTTATCATACGTTTCGGAACTCTTAATGCATAAGTTTTAATTCCCTTGGGCCCTGTGAATTGTCACTTCTCTCAACACTGGTGTATCGCTCTTTACTGTTACCCGTTGTTTTCGGATGAGCAATACAGAATTACCCCATCTAGCAATGTCATCCAAACATAATCTTAATGGACACGTTTGTGATTTCAAGCTACATCGAAATCTTCAAGGTGTCGGCATAAATAACATCAACGAACATTCCCATATGATGCGTTTTCATATGTTTGTTACTTTAGTACAGTGGCAATGCTATGTAGCTTTTTGGATTGATATGCGTTTCTTACAGAAGAAATTGTTATCTGTATGTAACCAATGTTTTGCGTTGTAGAAACTTTTATTGACATGTTATGTATAATAGTAATATACAACATTTGATAAAGCGCCCTATCTAGTTAACGTAAGCCACTCTAAAGCGCTTTACAGTACAAAGATATACAATTAATACAATAAGCATATACTTGCAGTAGCTGCCTTATCAGGCGCTAACTACTAGTCCTATGCCACCTGGCTAAAATCTCCTTATGTGTGTATGCCTGCGTGTGTGCTGAGATATTATGTGTTTATCTATATGTAGATAAACGATATAAAAACATAAATCTGTCAGATCTTCCGCTAGGCCTTTTGTAGATAAAATATGTATAACTAATATATCGGTCTCAAAACATTTGCAAAGGCGAACTTTCCACATCGCGGTTAGATTAGTGAATCACAACCGGGGACATTCAACACGTGATATATATTGCTTCAAAAAAATCATAATCAAAAATACATCATAATACCTGGTCGTTCAACTTCTTTTTGAAAGTTCAAAATATCAATAACTATAAAGTGACAATTTTAACGTGTTATTTATATATCTTTATAGAATAATACAGAAGGTTTCTATATTTTAGCACTGTATGCGTTATTTTAGCGTCTGTCTTATATTTAGTGATGATGGCCCCCGAATTACATGTTTCTGTAACTTGGCATCTATTGCATATATCTTGGGTGCGCCAATGCATTACTATGAATTGTTAAAATTCATGAATTGTTAAAATTCAATAATGCGCCGAAATACAAGGTCGCATAAATACATAGATACGTTAGCAGTATATGGCGGGTTCCTGTTAATTGTCATCTTTTGCATAAATCGTGAATGCGCCAATTCGCCAGTACTCAAATCGGTTACAATTCAGTAATGCGCTGAAATATGACTACACTAAAACAGTTACGATTATGGTATATGTTGGGTTTGACCGAAAATCATCGATAATTTGAATTGTTAAAATTCAATAATGCGCTTATATGGTGGGTTAATATTAATTGTCAAATCAAATCAAAATCATTTTATTCCTCCGATAAGATGATACAAATAGAGAATAAAATGGACATATCTTTACACGATATTTACTATATCGACAACACCTTAAATCAATAATGCGCTGAGATACGAGTATGGTCAAATAATTACGTTGATGGTATATGGTGGGTTATACCGAAACACGAGACATTATTAAATATAACCAATATCTGTTGATTGTACTATGATTGTCTAGTGAGCTATTTTAATATTGATGTCATATGATACCTTTCTAGTTTCCATGGTTTTGTTTTGTAGATGGAGTGTTGTGGGTTTTATGATTATAAGGATTATGTTTCCAATGCGACAATGTGGAACCGGACAATAGATTCGTCTGTTGCCATGGTGATCCCTCCCGCGTGCTGTAAACCTTTGTCGGACAATGACACTTCCACTCTACAGAACTGTGTGTACGCTCCAACATCAGACAATGCGTTCCTTACGGTAACTAACCTGCCTTTCTTTCTGTTTTAACTGTCCATTTTAAGTTTAGACCTGTTCGAATGTCCACCTTTTAGGCCCCTTGCATCAACGTTGAGGAAAAAAACCAGCTGTTTAGTTGTTTAGTTCCCAAGGAGAACTTGATGGCCACATTTATCTATCTACACAATTCACTAATAATTGGTTTGAAATCAACATCAGTTTAGATAAATTAGACCCCTACCATTATCGATGCGTCCTAAAGGAACAAAACAGCTGTATGATGCAGTGTAATTAATTTTTGGCATACTTTGCCTTTTACATATATAGTCTACCACCTTTTACAATAGAGTTTTTTTTAGTTTAAACATATTTTATTTAATAAAAAAGAATTGGACACAGGTTATACAGCTTAGAAAAGGTGAAATTACAGTATATTTTCAATTACAAAAGTGATGATGAATCAACCTCCCCAACCAAAGACAGAGCTGCTAAGGTTGGAATAGGCTGACTTCATTAGTTTCATTCATAATTTAGAAAATAATTATCAAATTTTAAACAAAACGTAGAGTATATTTTTATGTAATTTTGAACATTGATACATATTTCTTCATTACTTTCCTGTGTGTACATGGTGGCAGACTCTGCTGGTAGAATGTTTAGTCCCCAAGGTTTTGCCGTCCCCTTGACGGCTACATTTATCTCTTTTTAGTAGTAAACTAATTTACTAATAATTGGTTTAAAATTAACCAGTTTTCCCTTCTTTTTTTTTTTTTTTTTATGTAAGAAAGGTTTTTATGCACCTCCTCTTTAACAATAGGTTAGATTGATTAGACTCCTACAATTACCAAAGAGACCTCGAATAACGAATTAGGTAACTATATGTCGCAGGTAATTCGTTTTTGGCAAACTGTATCTTTTCCAAAAGGTTATAGGCGCAACACGTGTGTGTCTTTATCTTATAACAGTGATATTTCTCTGTTATAACACCAATAAGGTAAAGGTTTTTCTTATAACAGTGATATTTCTCTGTTATAACACCAATAAGGTAAAGGTTTTACTTAAAACATTTATATTGCTTTGTTTTAAGACTACTAGAGTATTTGTTTATCTCATAACAGCGATCTGTCACTGTTATATTACCAATAAGGTAAATGTTTATCTATAACAGTGATCAGTCTCGGTTATAACACCAATAAGGTAAATGTTTATCCTGTAACAATTGTATAGCTTTGTTATAAGACTACATGAATATATGTTTATCTCATAACAATGATCTTTATCTGTTATAAGACTACTAAAGAAAAGGTTTATCTAATAACAGTGATATTCCTCTATCTATTATTCCGTCTTTGCGTATTACATAGTTATCTTCTCTTGTGAGCTGGTATTGATTGTTACGTCATTGGTTTGTGAGAGGAACGTCATCAATTTTTGAGAAAACGATGTAATTTTCTCACACAAACCAATGACGTAACAATCAATAGCTGCTCACAAGAGAAGATAACTCTGCAATACGCAAAGACGAAATAACAGTTCTAAGTGAAGAGAGGTCCCTTATTCCTCCTTATTGTAACGTCACAAAAGTAACAAGTTGGCTGATTAAATGTAAGAAATATACCAGCAACCTGTCAAAATAAAGTTTAATACCATTTTACATAATATGTTGCATCAACAATGTTCATGGACTCTACTTTCAACAGACCAATGTATTGAAATGATATTGAAAGTGTGTAAATATAATCTAAAACTCCATTTTGATAAAAATGTCAAGGGAAGCGTCTTCGTCAGATAAATAGATACTTCAAGGCCGATGGTCTTTTCCAGGTTGTCATTATAATATCTCGCGGAATTTTTCAAAGATACTTTAAAACTATCGAAATATGTGTCAAATCCTGACTCATTAACCCTTTGAATACAACATTCCCTGACTAATACAACGTATTCAACTATTTTTTTAATTTCAGGGTTGCAAGGGCGCTATTGAGGACCTATTCTATCGTTACGAATGTGTGATCATTGGTGTGGCAGCCGCTATCGTGTTTTGCCAGGTAAGAACCTGATTTAACCTTAGGGGGGTGTGATCCTTGATGTTATAGTTACTGTCGTATTTTGTCAGGCAAGAACCTGATTTAACCTTAGGGGTGTGAGATCCTTGATGTTATAGTTACTGTCGTGTTTTGTCAGGTAAGAACCTGGTTTAACCTTAAGGGTGTGTGATCCTTGATGTTATAGTTACTGTCGTTTTTTGTCAGGTAAGAACCTGATTTAACCTTAGGAGTGTGTGATCCTTGATGTTATAGTTACTGTCGTATTTTGTCAGGCAAGAACCTGATTTAACCTTAGGGGTGTGAGATCCTTGATGTTATAGTTACTGTCGTGTTTTGTCACGTAAGAACCTGATTTAACTTTAGGGGTGTGTGATCCTTGATGTTATAGTTACTGTCGTGTTTTGTCAGGTAAGAGCCTGATTTAACCTTAGGGGTGTGTGATCCTTGGTGTTATAGTTACTGTCGTGTTTTGTCAGGTAAGAACCTGATTTAACCTTAGGGGTGTGTGATCCTTGATGTTATAGTTACTGTCGTGTTTTGTCAGGTAAGAACCTGATTTAACCTTAGGGGTGTGTGATCCTTGATGTTATAGTTACTGTCGTGTTTTGTCAGGTAAGAACCTGATTTAACCTTAGGGGTGTGTGATCCTTGATGTTATAGTTACTGTCGTGTTTTGTCAGGTAAGAACCTGATTTAACCTTAGGGGTGTGTGATCCTTGATGTTATAGTTACTGTCGTGTTTTGTCAGGTAAGAACCTGATTTAACCTTAGGGGTGTGTGATCCTTGATGTTATAGTTACTGTCGTGTTTTGTCAGGTAAGAACCTGATTTAACCTTAGGGGTGTGTGATCCTTGATGTTATAGTTACTGTCGTGTTTTGTCAGGTAAGAACCTGATTTAACCTTAGGGGTGTGTGATCCTTGATGTTATAGTTACTGTCGTGTTTTGTCAGGTAAGAACCTGATTTAACCTTAGGGGTGTGTGATCCTTGATGTTATAGTTACTGTCGTGTTTTGTCAGGTAAGAACCTGATTTAACCTTAGGGGTGTGTGATCCTTGATGTTATAGTTACTGTCGTGTTTTGTCAGGTAAGAACCTGATTGAACCTTAGGGGTGGGTGATCCTTGATGTTATAGTTACTGTCGTGTTTGTCAGGTAAGAACCTGATTTAACCTTAGGGGTGTGTGATCCTCGATGTTATAGTTACTGTTGTGTTTTGTCAGGTAAGAACCTGGTTTAACCTTAGGGGGGCGTGATCCTTGATGTTATAGTGACTGTCGTGTTTTGTCAGGTAAGAACCTAATTTAACCTTAGGGGTGTGTGATCCTTTATGTTATAGTGACTGTCGTGTTTTGTCAGGTAAGAACCTAATTTAACCTTAGGGGTGTGTGATCCTTTATGTTATAGTGACTGTCGTGTTTTGTCAGGTAAGAACCTGATTTAACCTTAGGGGTGTGTGATCCTTTATGTTATAGTGACTGTCGTGTTTTGTCAGGTAAGAACCTGATTAAACCTTAGGGGTGTTTGATCCTCGATGTTATAGTTACTGTTGTGTTTTGTCAGGTAAGAACCCGGTTTAACCTTAGGGGTGTTTGATCCTTGATGTTATAGTTACTGTCGTTTTTGTTAGGTAAGTACAAAACATTTTTTTGTTTGTATAAAATCGGTATGAGTTGATTACATTTTGCATAACAATTAGTTTTGATTTTCATTTTTTTTTTTCATGATGCGTATTCGATATTTATTTTTCAGTTACTGATGATGATTCTGACACTTGTGATGCTGTGTACCAAGGTCGACAACTCTTACACATTCAAAGACGGGAAGCAAACATGATAATTCCTCGAAGAATTTAAAAAGGAACTCTTCACACATTCATACAAAATTCTATATGAACAACAAGTATACAAATGGAAGGACTATAATCAGTTGTCGAAAGCATCTCTTTCTTGAGAAGGGGAAACATTCTGCCGTGTTTCCTTTCTGTTGGTAACTTCCTTTGTGATTTTTGCATCGGTAGAATACTACGATATATAATAATCACTATCATATCTGGGGTGGGATGCATGCAGTATTTGTATACATAATGCGATTTTATGGGATATTTAACAATGAGGAAATGACGTCATTATTATGATGACTGATGATCACCATAAATTACGTATATATATATATATATATATAATTCGAGGTTCTAATATACCGCTTTATCACAGCCAAGTTTGTAGGTCGTCTCCGTTCACAGACTATTATCCTTGGTTATAGGGAGGGGGTTTATGGAGGGGTAGGACGTCATTGTCGTCCAAATGACGTCGATGTATAAAACATAATGTGTTTTTGTAAATATCTTAATAAGTTATTCTGCTTTAAACATTTTAAAATGGCTGAAATATCTTAACTCTAAAAATAAAATGTAAGACTTTTTATAACAATAAAAGGGTAGGTTTCGCATGTTGTAAATACAACGAAGTGTCTTAAGCCATCTGAATTGCAAGGAATACCTGTTTTAAGCATTGAACTGCTTTCAGTTGGCATTCATAGGCAATATGAATGCCAACTGGACAAAGGCAAATTCCATGAAGCGCGCTGAGAGATACCAAAACAGATTCGCTTCAAAATCTTATTATTTATTTCACATTACAGAAACAATGATTGTGTCTGTTTGTTTGAAATAGTTTGTTGTTTTGCCATTTTTCATTTTGTCTCTCTTTTTCAAATGGATTAACACTATCATTTTTTTTCAAGAGTTGCAAAATAGATATTTTCTCGCGGATATATTATATTCACACCTGACCATGTGCACTACCAAGATGTCCGGACTTTATTTAAAATGCAACTCGAACAGTAAAAACATATATGAAAACAGAACGCTAACACTGATGAAGATTTATTTAGAGATTACAGCTTCATGAAAAAATAATGTCAGTTGGTTAACAACTGTATTTTAGTACAGTATACATAAATTCTACAAACATTCCAACAACTAGTTAGGGGGAAAAGGTCATACACTAATTGCATATAACGTAAACTTTATCACATACTAATTAAAAATACACAATCTTACCAACAGACAGAATTCATATAGCGCAATATTTCACCAGACCAACTAAATATGGCCCAACATTTCCACAGACCAATTAAATATAGCCCAACATTTCCACAGACCAATTAAATATAGCGCAACATTTCCACATACGAATTACATATAGCGCAACATTTCCACAGACGAATTACATATAGCGCAACATTTCCACAAACCAATCAAATATATCGTAACTTTTACTTCAGACTAATACAATACAACACAAACTTTACCATTCATTTATTAAATGAAACCCGAAAAACACCGTATCCTGAGTTAACAAAATCTCAACAAGCCTGCAGCTTAATGAAATAGAACATGGAGAACCCCCCAGCCAGGTTATATATAACACGAAAATACCATATTTTAATTAAATATACCAAACAATATTACACCTTATTTATTTTTCCCAAATATTACCACATCTTAAATAAACTGCAAACATTTATGACCTCTTAATTGAATAAACTGCAAACATTATCACAGCTGAATGAAATAAACAACACATATTACAACAATTTAATTAATTACAGCGCGATATACCTCCTCCTATAAACTGCAAACATTAGCACATCTTTAATTAAACGCAACACAACAGCTTAGTTTAAAATAAATCGTGATCATTACCTTAGCCACATCTTGATTAAAATACAAAGCAACAAACAACATGATTTCTTTTAAACTTCATTCTGAAAAAGTGCTAACACATCTGAAATGTAATAAACGCGACAATTTCAAAATATCAAACTTCATCCTCATGAAAATTTAACTCGAATGATTCAAATATTGCATTTTCATTTATCAGGGCTTCTTTAAATAAGCAATACGGATAATACTGGATTTGTTTTTAAGAAACATTCATTGATTGATTGACTAAAATAGAATGAGAACAATACCTGCACTCGAGTATATACAACACAAAACAACTTTAAAAACCGAGGCAAATAATTTACACAAATATTACCATAACACCATGATGATGCATCGCACACAATTGTTATGGGATGTTAAAAATAGAACAAAATCATTTCAATCGTCAAAATTTGTGTATTTCATGAATAAAATACTTTCGAAAAATACAGCGATTGAAATGGAGACACAACAATAACTGATGTCATAAGGAGAATGAGTCCAGGTGTTCCTGAAGTGCAAGCGACGTTTGTGTCATCGACGAAACAAATCATAATAATGATATACAACATACGATATAACGCGTTATTTCTAGCTAACATTAGCCACTTTAAAGAGCTTTACAATTAGCATATACATTAATTAATACAATTTTGAGGAATTCGAAGGAGCTGCCTTATCGGGCGCTAACTACTAGTCCTATGCCACCTTGCTAATACCCCCATATGTGTGTATGTCTGCGTGTGTGATGGAGATGTAATGTGTTCTGTTTGTAGTGGGGCCGTGTTTCCAACGGCATCATTTATAGTGCCACTTCCCTTGAATGCTACAGCACAGGTACTGCAACATCCACCCCAGACCAATGTCATACTCCACCTGGGTTGTTGGAGTTGTGTGGGCAGGAGAAAAACACTTTCTCTGAATATCCATGCATCAAACCCCGGCCGCCTGCGTGGAAGGCCGGAGTGTTAACCACTCGACCAATCCGCCCACATATGGCATATTTTGAAAATGAGATTATGATTTCGACCATAAAAACTGGACCCAAGTTTCTCCAACCCTTTTCTGTCGAACGTGACTGATTCCACTTTCCCAGCGATGATTGTGTTTTGCTTTCACACAGCTATGTTCTATAATAGGACCCACGTGCAGCAAAATGTTAACAAAAGCGATGTTTCACGTTTGTAAATCGTTAGGGAGGGTTCTTTGTTTACATGAAAAATAGGCTAATATTTGTATAAAAATACCAATTGAAATACTTAATTTCATAATTTACGGGTTATTTTTTTCTCTTTTTGTTTTGGCACTGATAATAAAATGATACAAATAGAAATTTGTGTATTTGTTATAAACCTTAATAACATAGGGAAGCTAAGATCATGCGTTCATATAATGACAACAAATTCCATGTATTATGCAGTATTTTAATTACGTCTATTTCGGAAGTAGTTGATTTTCATTCATGATGTTTCCGCAATTTATATTAATATGTCTCCAAGTTAACTACAGCAACCGTTTGCAAGGTGCAATCTGGTTGATTTAGTTATGTACTGTTAAATCGTAAATTTTCATGGGACATTAAATTTCGTTTATTTCGTGGATAACAAAAATCCACGAAATTCAATTCCACGAAAACATATGTTTGGTATGATATAGATAGGGAAATCATCGAAATATAATGGTCTTGTAACAGGCTAGTACATGTATATGAAAACCACGACATTTTAACCCAACGAAAATAAATGATTATACAGTACTCCACAGCGCAGAGCCAAAGTGTTAACTATAATTCAAAAAAAGAGAATTTTAACAATACCAGAATTCGAACTTAAAACTGAGACAAAAGTAGGACAAAATATGAACAAAGCGTTGTATTAACAGATATGGTCATTTAAGGACGTGCCAGGTTTTGGTGGTGGAGGAAAGCCGGAGTTCCCAGAGAAAAACCTACGGCAAGTACCTTGCGACTGCCCCACGTAGGACTCGAACCCTCGACCAATTGTGGAGGGCTAGATGTAGCAGAATCTCAGACACCTTAACCATTTGGTTACCAAAGAAATAGACTATATGATCTTATGAAATGATGATGGCGACAAAAAAAACCATGTCCATAGTCTCCATCACCGTGCATGTTTAAAAAACCCAGTCGACATCTATCACGGAAGTCATGATATTCGATGCAGGCTCTTGAATACCCAGTCAACTTCGACATGTATACACCGCATGTAAGGGAGCTTGGATGTTACTATCGAGAAAGGGAAAATTCGCAATAGAAAAGTCGAAATCGTCTGGATTATCATACAATTTAGGAGTAAGCTGTCTCTGTTTGTAATGTTGTAAGTAACGATCGAGGAAAGCCGTTGAAGAAGAAGAGCCAGTGGCATCCTTGATTTCTAGTTCAGGAGAAATACCCGATCGATGTAGTCGATATATTTATTGTTCTATAAAGGTAGCACATTGTAAACACCAGTCTTTATTATGTATTTATATATTCTCTCAACTACAATCTGATGCCGCAACGGGAAGCTGCTCGCTTGGACATAGTTTTAAATGTTCCCTCCTAGTTAAATCAGATGTAAACGTGTTCCTCACTGTCGGGATGTTGGAAGGTAACACAATTGACTGTACCACTTCTTGTTAATACAAATGCATACCTTTCGAAGAAGTGTTTAACTGTTTCCCTCTATAGAAACAGTTTATCAGACAATAGAATGAACTGTTTCTCTCTCTATAGAAATCAGATAATAGAAGGAACTATTTCCTTCTCTTTAGAAATAGTTTATCAAACAATAAATTGAAATATTTCCCTTTCTATAGAAACAGTTTATCAGACAATAGATTGAGCTATTTCACTCTCTATAGTAACATTTTATCAGACAAAAGATTGAACGATTTCCCTCTCTATAGAAACAGTTTATCAAACAATAATTTGAAATATTTCCCTCCCTATAGAAACAGTTTATCAGACAACAGATTGAACCATTTCACTCGCTATAGAAACAGTTTACCAGACAAAAGATTGAGTGCTTTCACTATCAATAGAAACAGTTTATCAGACAATAGATACAACTATTTCCCTCTCAATAGAAACAGTTTATCGAACGATATATTGCATTAGTACATCACATGATAATTTTTAGGATAGCAATTAGATAACTACCCTTGTTCTATTTGGTATAGTTAGCATCCGCCCTCGACGACGGGAACTATACCTGGAGACGGGCACTATACCTTTTTTGGACCACTGAGATTGCGGGAAAAGTAGCGTGACGCTAAGAGTTTCGCCCCTTCTCCTAGGGGGCACTGTACATATTCTACTTTCACTTCATTGTTGTCGTCTGCCAAAATGGCTTCATGATTCGGGACCCGGTAATGTTGATTGCTTCGCAGAGGCTCAGCAATACATCAAGACGAAGCAGGCGACACAATTTGCCGTCGCCGACAGTCCTTAAAGACTTCCTACAGGTAAGAGGAACCGTATGTGACCTAGCGGTGATTCAATCCAGTGAACTAAACGGTGTTTTGGCGGATTTCTATGCCAATATACGCAACAAAAAAGTTCTCTTAGTTCCATCAAGCAAGGTTTGCGGCGGCATTTACAAAAAAACATCATGTGGCAGAGATTTCGACATTCCATTGTTTTTGCACCTTCTTTCAATTTTAGTAATTGTACCGTTACAATTAACAACAATTCATGAATCAAAACTTCAAATGTTACGTTCAAATTTCCAGCTGTTGTTAATTATTAAATAAGTTATCATTGAAGTTCCTCATGATTTTCTTTTTATTGTCAAATGACAGTCATGTGATGTACTAAATGTATTATGACCCTTTCCCTCGGGAACAGTTCTCTTATAGTGTTGTCTGGGGAGGTATAGTGCCCTCGCCTAACGGCTCGGAAACTATACCACCCCATACAACACTATAAGCGAACAGTTCCCTCGGGAAAGGGCCATACTAGAATAATATTTCCCTTTCTATAGCAACAGTTTATCAGACAATAGCTTGAACTATTTCCCTTTCAATAGAAACATTGTATCCGACAAAAGATTAAACTATTTCCCTTTCAATAGAAAAAGTTTATCAGACAATAAATTAAACTCTTTCCCTCTCAATAAAAACATTGTATCAGACAATAAATTAAACTCTTTCCCTCTCAATATAAACAGTTTATCAGACAATATATTGAACTATTTCCCTCTCTATAGAAACATTGTATCAGACAATAAATTAAACTCTTTCCCTCTCAATAGAAACACTGTATCAGACAATAAATTAAACTCTTTCCCTCTCAAATGAAACAGTGTATCAGACAATAGATAAAACTCTTTCCCTCTCATAAGAAACAGTTTATCAAACAATAGAATGAACAATTTCCCTCTCTATAGAAACAGTTTATCAGACAATAGTTTGAACTATTTCCCTCTCAATAGAAACATTGTATCCGACAATAGATTAAACTATTTCCCTCTCAATAGAAACAGTTTATCAGACAATAAATTAAACTCTTTCCCTCTCAATAGAAACACTGTATCAGACAATAAATTAAACTCTTTTCCTCTCAAATGAAACATTGTATCAGACAATAGATAAAACTCTTTCCCTCTCAATAGAAACAGTTTATCAGACAATAGAATGAACTATTTCCCTCTCTATAGAAACAGTTTATCAGACAATAGATTGAACTATTACCCTCTCAAAAAAAACATTGTATCAGACAATAGATTATGCTCTTTCCCTCTCAATAGAAACAGTTTTATCAGACAATAGAATGAACTATTTCCCTCACTTTTAAAACAGTTTATATGCATTATATTGATTTATTTCCCTTTCTTTAGAAACTAGATTAAATGTATGAAATGTTACACAACTGAGTAAGGTACAATATTAAAATTATTATATTTGCAGAACGTTTGGACATAAGTTATGCCATATACAGGTAAACATTTCCGGCAAATTATATAACACGATGATTTGACCGAATGAACTTGACATCAAATCAAAGGATTACGTCAAACGTTAATAGAACCTCTCTTTACGAAATGGAAATTACCACAAATGTACGTGATACGTGAAACATTACGCCAAGTGTAGTTTTATAATTGAATAGATTACATAGTCATGCTGTTATGAATCCGCCCAAATAAGAGAACACCTACCTTGCTTCTAACATCGAATTACATGAAAATGATTAGGGCAAAGGTATCCTTGATTTCCACGGGTTACGTTCACCTCGCTCTCTACACCCCTGTATTATGTCATAGCAAAATTGAAGGCAAGCGGCTAACTATTTGATTGGTCTCATGTAAAAAAAACACCTGACCAATCACTAGGTTAAGGAGTGATGCCCAACTTCAAAGCTAGTGAGTTTTACCGTAACACGACCGCGATATTCCTTTGATGTACATCAAAGGCTCAAACTAGTCTTCTTGTCTCATCCACAAGGTGGCGCACACTGAGCTTTCAATTTTGCTATGACATATTCCAGGGGTGGGGAGAGCGAAAGTGAACGTAGAGGATAGTGCAAAGGTTCCGCAAACAAACTGTTTCTATAATGAGGGGCGTACATGTAGTCCTTGTCCTGAGTAGAATCACGTAGGAGCGCGTCTAGGGTAGGACCTTCGTAAGGAGAACGAGATGTAACAAGCAGTTTTTTTTGCTTTGTTTCGTTTTTCTGTTTGAAAATGTGGTGGATTCGCCTGCGTACTAGCGTATAGGCAGCTACGTTCCTGGTTGAGATAGATGCATCTCTCTCTTTGTTTATATTCATTATCCGTTCTGTTTGTGTACAAGGCACGGCAGTCTAGTGGTGGGACAACCGGCTCGTGACCGAAGAGTTGCGGGTTCGGGTCACGGCACTGTGAGCAAGATACTTTACTCCGCTTGTTCCAGTCTACTCAGCTGTAAATGAGTAAGTGGTTGGTCAGTGCTGGACTTGTAGACTGCTAGTTGTGAGCGCCTAAATGACAGCACCGGCTGTAAGCTCCTCAGGGAGTTGATAAAGATATTGGCTGGTTTTAAAGGCCGTTTAACCACGGATAATATATTGTGAACCGCTTAGAGACGACCTACGAAGTTTTGATAAAGCGGTATATAAGAATCTCGAATTATTATCATTATTACAAATGATATATATTGTCTGTCTACATCCATTTCAAAATAAAATGTTTCAGACGTGTATATTTATATTTTTACTGCACACAGATGTTTTACACTCGGCTGTCGTACTGAAAACCCCGTTGTATCTCTTTGGTAATCTCTTGTTGTTGTTGTTGTTGTTGTTGTTTGTCTGTAATTTAATTCCTAAATAGTGCGGTCATCATTATTTCCTCCGTGGTTTTTTCTCTCTCTCAAAAGGAACGTAAGCACGTTTAGATGTGTGCGCCCTTCACAATTTTTACCTAATAACATTTTTTTTTCTGTTTTCCGCCTTAGCTGTCATTGAAACATCGTTTATTTGACGTCATAATTGTGACATGGTTTATGAAAACTTTTGTGTGTAGTTATGTCTTATATTTCTCAGACGAACGTGCCGGCACTTTGTATAAAAAAAAATGAAGACTAGAGTTGAATAATTTTCATTCAAACAGATATTTTATTGATTTTTAACAATCAAGGGTTTGGGTAAGAATATTCAAATACATTTTTTTATGAATTTTGCAGTTTCTATGTTACATTTACTAAAGTTAAGTATTATAAACTTTGGGTCACTCGCTAGGCCCTTTAAACCAGGAAGTTATTTTTTGGAATAAGCACTGCAAAATACAATAGTTGTATATGGTTAGCTATCCATCTACAAATCTTAAACACCAGAAAAAAATTAATAAGATCTTTATGTTCGTGTTTCTTTTGCTGTATGTTCCGCACAAAGTTTGTCAACAAAGTTCTATAAAATCCCATTTTCGCGGACACTAATTTTCGTCATATTCAACTTCACGGGATTCATTTTTGCGGATTTCGTGTCTAGTAGCCATCACTTATGGTTAACATGTAAAGATGGATCATTTTACTATTTGATTCGCGAAAATTAGAAGCCCGCGAAAAAAGACAAAAATCATTTGCAGTACTTTAAATTAAGATTCCTACAAATAGACATATACATGGAAAACATTTTAAAATGATAGTAATCTGGTTAGATCGCGCACATAACTTAGATATGCATATATGGTCCTGGATTTTGTTTTTATAAAAGTCAACTTCAGGAAATTAAGCAAAACAATACAAGGAAACCAGCAACATAATATACAGGAAAGGAACAAAGGAACGGTTCTTCGTTGAATACAAGTCCTCCTCTGTTTTGGGAACACAACTATGGTCATGGTTTTTATTTTATATAAGTCAACTTTCTAGAGGAAATTTAGCCAAACAATAAAAAGGAAAACAGCAACATAACACAGCAACATAATGTACACGGAAGGAACAGTTCTTCGTTCCGTACAAGTCCTCCTCTGTTGGGGGAATGGTTGGAGGTTCTCGGAATGGAATGGCTGACTGCTGGTCCCAAGATCCATTTGGATTGTGTTGGACGTGTGGTCAACAGACCATGGCCTCAATTTGGGATGTTATCAAACCGTATCAAACGCGGAATGACTCCAGGTATCAAATGAACTTGTTGGCTAAAACTGAAGAAAATTCTGAAAAAAAGAGAAAGTAATGCAAACTGACATGAAATTAAAATCAACAATTAAGATTCTAAAAGTAAGCGTATGGATTGAAAACTGAAGAAATTGTGAAAAGTTCTAGAAAGGTGTAACACATATCATCAATTCTAGAGCATTTAATTTTATTTCACTTCAGCAAGCATTTGCTTCTCGTGTATTTCTTTAACTTTCCTGCATGGAATATGTCATCTTCACTAGCCTATGGTTACGTTACGGTACTTTCTCCCTTTTCAAGAGTAGGTTTGGATTGGTTTTTTTTTTAATTTCAATTAACTGTGGTTGGTTGTATAGTGATCGGAGGCCAAGTGTTCGAATCCCGGTCGGACGCCCTTGCTTTTTTAAAATCTCGATAACATTTCTATTTTTTTTTTTTCATCTTAATTATTGCTATTTTTTTTGTAATTGCTCCGCAAGACATTGGTTTCTTGAATTTTTTTTTTTTTTTTTATCAAAGCCATTGTCATGTCAGAAAAATTGTTTCCTATTAATAAATACAGTTTTGGCAGAGGTACAAGAATCCTTAAACTCAATAAGAGTTAGCTCCCTTCGATTCAATTCAATTTTATTACTAAAATTTAATTCCATACACAACAATTAAAAAATATGAAACATAAGTGGTAAAAAGTAAGAGCTCCGTTCACTAATGTTGGATATTGATACTTAACCCAATGATATTGAATATTGGAATGGAAATGATAATGACATAAAATATGTCTTTCAAACGGATATATACCTTCGTACGTGATGACGCCATTTCCGTCTAAATCTGCCTCGCGCATCAGATCCTGAAATTCCTCCTCTGTCATTCGTTCTCCCAGGCCAGTTAAAACAGCCTTTAGTTCTCGCATTTCTATCATCCCATCCCCGTTTCTGTCAAAAACCTTGAAGCAACAAAATCAATTATTAGATCAAAGTAACACTTCATATTTCGTCGCCTTTGCTAACATTCGATTTCTACGTTGTTTGTTTGATTTGTGTGTGTTTTACGACCTACTAACAGCTATGGCCATTTAAGGTGTTTGTGGCGGAGGAAAGCCAGAGTTCCCTGAGAAAAACCAACGACCTACAGCCAGTACCTAGCGACTGCCCCACGTAGGTCTCGAACCCGCGAACCACTAGTGGTAGCAGAATGTCAGACGCCTTAACCACTTGGCCATCGCGGCCCCCGAATTCTACTTATGGATGTATTATTACTAGACAGCGGAATGTATCTCCATTTAGGAAAGAGCTCAACAGTTTCACCTCAAACTGATAATTCTCATATAAGGGAGATAATTTGGAGATGGATTATTTACTGATGACACGTTTGAAAGATACAAGAGAATATTTGTATAAATCAAAGTAGATGGTCATAAAAATAACAAGGGACATAACTCTGGCGCAAATCAAATGTAAAATATGTTAAATGGCATATACGTGTAGCATAAACTCTAACACATATCACCGATAAATTGTGTAAAATACATGTAGCATATCTCCTCAACTCTAACTCTATTACTGTTACCTTGAAAGCTTTCTTGATTTCGTCTTCTTCCTTTTCTAGGTCCCGCCATTTTTTCGACATCATGGACACGAACTCCTCAAAATCTATTTCTCCATCGTCTTAAAATTTGATAAATATATAATTTGATAAATATGTAATTTGATAAATATAGATCGATTAAACAATTAAAATGTCACTTGCTTTATGATGAAAAGAATACTATATTTACTTTAAATCATTTATGATGTAATATACAATAAAACCGTGTTATGCTGTCACTATTTGTCAAGTTAAATTTTGGCGTTAAATTGAGTTTCGGCGTTATATCAAGGGAGACATAAATAGGGAATGTTGAGATTACAAGAAAAAAAGGACATGGAAAATCCCTTGGCGATAAGCGAGGTGGCTCATATAAGGCATGACAGAAAAACGAGGTGATATTGTTGCATAACCCTTAATTATCTCGGGGAAAATATTGAAGGGTTGCCGGTTTTTTTTTATTTCATGTAGAGTGATCTCCCCTTAATTTTGTCCTTGTCTGTGCCCGTTTCAATTGTACACTCAGAATACCTGTGATTTGTTTCACCCTAATAAGTTTACAAGAATTCCGCAAGGTATTTATTTCTTTTCAGAAATAACTTCTCAAAGCCATAATGATGCCGGGAATAAAACCCAAGTTTTCAATACTTAGTGACAGTTTTTGGCAGTGGTACGCTTTAGGGGGCCAAACAATGGTCACATTCATGGATAATTTGGTATCTATTGAACTGTGTTACAGATTTCTTTACCTGTTTATTTAATGACTGTTACGTCATACGTTTGTGTGAGAAAATTACGTCGTTTTCTCAAAAAGTGATGACGTTACTCTCACAAACAAATGACGTAACAATCAATACCTGCTCACAAGAGAAGATAACTCTGCAATACGAAAAGACGGAATACCAACTCACTGTCTTTATCCACTTCTGCTATAATTGACCTGACGTGTTGTGTGGTAGGATTTTGACCCAAAGCTCGCATGACGTCAGTCAGTTCTGATTCCGTTATTTTACCATTTTTGTCTTTATCAAACAGTTCAAATGTTCTTTTGATTTCTGAAAAGAAAATGAAAATTGCTGCATTAACAAAGAGATAGCAAAATAAAGCAATTACAAAATTAAAACGTTTAAGATCTGCTTGTTGTCTACTCTTACTGAAATATGTTGCATTTTATTGTCAGTGTGCACATTATTTTTTCTTGTTGACGAGGTACACAGTACACTAATATCTCATAAACCTATATATTAACATTTTCACTGCAAATGTCCTCTATAAGCATTATCATAATAAATTGCGTTCATAGGGCTATAAATGCAATTGGATCAGCGTCATTTTGAACTTCTCCCGCTTCGAATAAAATGAGACAACCGCTAAAAGCAAACATGTTGATGACGTTAGGCTGTTCCAGAAATCTCGCATGCGCTGACGGCATAAACACTTCAATATCGGAAGTATAAGGTAATATTGTATGAAGGTCAATAATAAGTAAACGTTTTGAATGTAAATATAAGGATTGAACGGCACCTTTGAATGTTAATGACGGTATGAACGCAATCTACTGGGAATTGGGTAACCATATGCTGAAATGTGCGAACATGATTGCTACTAGGAATCGATCAAGGTACGACAAATGCAAAGACGCAATGAATGAATTTTGATAGTATGAAGTATAGGATTAATGTATAGATACAATCAAATGTAAAGGCAAACGGAATAGGCAAACGTACATGTATTTTGAGAATGCAGTAAAGATAAACCCGAAGTAAAGATAAAACCACATGCAACAAGATAGCATCTGGAAGCGGTGTAAGTATATATATAAGACAAATAAAGGCTGGCCATGGTTACTTCTGTGAAAGGGGTAAGGATAAGTCAACGCAACATGCTTACTACTGGGAATGAGGTAAAGATGAGGCGAAAGTAATGATATAACAAAATGCAATATGATTGCGTTTATCTGAGAACGGGGTAAGTGTTAGGAAAATAGAGGTCGACAATGATTGCTATTGTGAAACGGGTAATGAATGGACCAAAAGTATAGAAATAACAAGTATCGAGTTCGCTACTTGGAATAAGGTAAGGTTTTAATTGTATGTAAAGATGTATTCAAATTTAACAGGAATGAACCATGTTTCTAACAATTTTTGTAGAGAACACAAACGTTTTTTTTTAAATTGAATATTGAAAAAATATAGAAAAAAATGAGTGTCAATTCATTTTCGGCATAATTTCAATAAGTTAATGATTACAGATTATCACACTGTGTTTTCTGGGGTTGTCGTAAGAACAAGCAGTGACCTCTCGATTTTATCCTCGTATTTACAATGAGAACATTGTTCGAACGACAAACACTGAAAATACTATGTGATAAACTGTTTATCATCTTTATCTGATACGTAACCTTATAAATCTCTCGATTTAAAAAGTTCAACTAAACATCGTATCTTCCAAATGACTTCTAAGCTCAATAGTTATCGATCGTAAATCCTCGGTCCATGACAAACGTAAACAAATGGAGGATTTGCGCGGAGGAATACAATGAACCATAGAACCAAGCAGAAAGAAATACGTTTAAAACAATCTCATCGTCATAGGCTTTTCCAAATGCACATTTACGCTTAAAATTCACAATATTTTTCGTAACTTTATATTGATTTGTTTATGACGAACATTTTTCCTGGATACTACTTCCGGTTAAGAACGTCACCTGGCGTGAGCAGACGTTCTTTTATGAGAAAATCCGTTCACAAATGCCGGGAAATGGGAAAATCGGTTCTCAAGTCGTTCTCAACTTCTTCTTGAGTGTTCTCATATATCAGTGTACCGATAGGTGGTATAAAGTAGTATATAGATGATAGTTAAAGATCAATAATCAAATGAATGTAAACAACAATTTAATGATTGTAAACAACAATTGAATAGATGTAAACAATGATAAAATGAATGGAAACATTGATTGAATGTAAAAGAAAAAGTGGAATGAAAAGAAATGAATGAATGAATAAGTAAATGACTGAATGAGAGAATGAATGAATGAGAGCCCTCTTGCATGAGGACATTTTTTTCGATAAAATCGAAAGGCCATGGCAGCTGGACTCGAGATTTTATCCAGGTGCGAGCACATTGTGTCCAACGTCTATATTGTGACGGCCGTATTACGTAGGAACAAACGACACTGTCTTGTGTAATAGTTAACGAGAGATGAACGACCGATAGTTATTTGTTTGCCTAAACGAGTCAGTTTTATATAGAATCATGAAGCGTAATGACATGGTAATGCCATTACGACCACCAGCTAAGCGATAGCGGGTTTACGTAATTTTTTACATGATAATTGCTTTTCGTAATTAAAAATATGCCTTTAACGAGTAATAAGGAAATTGCTAAACATCTGCTGATGGGAAGATATTGCCGATCAATCGAAAGTTAATTTCCGCATTTAAGCGAGACAAGAAATGAGTATCGGAGAGCGATCGAAAGTATTTACCGCTCATGCTGTTTACAGAACTTGTAACAGAGTTGTGTAATACGATCCATTAAAACCAGAACAGATTATTCTGCTCAATATTTCTTTGTGTGTAGTTTAGAAATTCTTCTTTAAAAGACTAATCCCAAAAACCTTGAATTCGTAAATTGTTTCATGCTTGGGCGCGTTCTGTATGACGTATGAATTCTCGACTGACATTCTAAATTGCAAAGTTATCTTTTTCGTGAAATCCAAGTGATATTTGGATCCTCTGCTATAAGATATCGCATACATCTTGTCCCTGATGTGGGTTGTTTGGTACGTGTAATGCTGCCAGCTCTACATATGCCATATCCCGGCACGCGTCGTATCTGCCCGGCACACGACAAATCCGTATTATACTTCAGATTAAACAAATTTACACACCTCAGTTACACCCAATTTGTGGTATTGGTTTATATTTTGATGTTGTACTTAATTATTTACGATGCGTATTATTTGATAAAAAGGTTCAAATATGACAATGGCCATACCCTACCCCGAATCAACCTTCAACACATATCAGCCCTCGGAACTCCGACCCCTCAGGCTGGAAAGGAGGTTTCGGATTGATACGGAATATGGTATGGAAATGACCGATGATAACTAAACATACATTTTTCTGACAAATCTCGGGTTTAAACCCTCGTAAAATTTAAATTTTATCTGTTATGATTATCCAACTCCGCTGTATTCGTCAAACCATATCAGCCCTCGGGCCACAGATCTGAGTCGAAAGCATGCTTATCATTCGAGTGTTTGCAAAGCATTTAAGTGACATTGATTAAACCGTCGGCTACGTAGCCCCGAGGACATACCATCCTCGATATCCAGGGGTTATATACATATTCCAGGGGGTGCAGAGAGCGAAAGTAAGCGTAACCCCTGAATATCGAGGATGTCTGCACCCCTGGAATATGTCATAGCAACAATGAAGGCACGAAGATATAAAGCTGTTTGATTAGTCTCAGGTAAAATAACCCTGACCAATCGCTCGGCTGATACCTGTCCTTTGAAGTTTACAAAGGAGAGACGCCCGACTTCAAAGCCTGTCAACCTTAACCGTTACGTTACCGCGAGATTCTTTTGATGTATATGGAACTAGTCAATGTGGCGCACACTGAGCCTAGAATTTTGCTATGACATATTCCAGGGGTGCAAGCGTAACCCCTGGATATCGAGGATGGGGACATCATGTATAATACTCGTTTTGCATGTTTGGAAAATTGACGAATCCGCGTCTTAATCAGTTAAGTTTTTCTTCAAGGGGTTTTGAGAGTAAATGGAACAGACGCCATTGCCAAGATACTCTAGCAATCGGCGAGGCTTACATTCTTTATTACCTTGACTCTTTAGGTTCCATAGTGCGATATTTACAGTGCAACACATACAATAAACCATCGGCTACAAATCATAAACTCAATACAATACAAAAGAGGGGGTGTAACCAGTTACGTTAATTGGGTTCTCCTTGTATTTGCAGAGACAGTCACGGTCACCTGTGTTTTATTTATTGGTTCGTAATTCGCTCAGGGAAAGATTCAGTACGTGATCTTTACGGTAACACGTAAGATTCTTCACTTTGTACTAAATCATTATACATTGAATACACACCTGTCAACGATTGGTTTTGTTAACTTTATTTCGGCTTGTTAATTTTAATCTGAATGGTCAAACCAAAAGAAAATCGATTACTTTACGACGGTGACTAAAATTATGTTCAATTTCTCAAAATACAATCAAAATTAAATCGATGCAAACTTATTTAACCTTTTGTATCGTGAACTCATATTTTAACATATTGTAAAATTATGGAGCTCTAATACGTATTATTACCACTTTGAGAAAAATCTAGGAATCTGATTGGTTAAAAACTACAGTGTACCAAACCGCATTCGGAAATCTCAGGGGGCATACGAAAATCTCAGGGGGTATACGGTCATGTCACGTGATTCTCAGCAGTAATACGATGGAATCACGTGATTTTACAAGGGGTATACGGGTCACGTGTCTTTGTATCTTGAGGCCGGGCAACGGGAGACAACTTACATTCGTCGTCTGCTTCGCTGTTTACAAAATGGCAAAACGTTTCGCTTCGCATACTGATGAGGAAATACTCACCAAAAGGGCTAACTATGTGCCACAAAACACACAAAAATCGAACAGACGAGCGGCAAACATGCTGAGGACGTATTTAAAAGAAAAGAATCAGGAAGAACAGTTCGAGGAATTTGATAAAACGAAACTAAATGGGGTACTGTGCCATTTTATCTTGACCACAGAAAAGTTGACGTGAAACGGTACAAAACCAATATAAAAGACTAAAAGGGTTATAAATTCGTTACAGGATTTCGTATTTCCTTCGGCCTATCGGCCTCAGGAAATACGAAATCCTTTAGGGTCATACCATCCCGTATACCCTGCCAAAAATCCGTGTAACTAATAATATACATTGAGCACACAACAAACTTTGTTTGAATGTTAAAGATCCCTGCATCAGTTATAAAACGGGTAACTATGCTTCGAAAATGTTTTCTATAGCAATACAAT